GAGGAACCATTTTGTTGTAAAAAGTTCGAAACACTCCTCGGAACTTCCACAAAAATCTCGAGACAATCTCGTACGAGTAGGGCTTAGAAATTTTTACGAAATTGACTCCGCGTTGCTCTATATATCCTTCTGCCAGTGTGCATAGAAAACCCTAATCCGAGTACTAGACAGATGATTTTTACGACTTCGTGATAGTATAAACATGCCATATCCAAAATCTCTTGCACCAGCTTTCTATATTCATCAATGTTACTGCGAGCTTTTTTTTTGAGTAATGGAAAAGAGCTGTTAAAGGCAGCGTCCCGGCAGATTTGGCATTTCCATCTTTTTGCATGTTTTGGGCCTTCTCGACCCGTAGATCCCGAATCTGAGCTTTAAAAGGGGTGAAAAGGCCTTTTTGGGGCGTTTTTTTTTTCAATTTCCAAAAGGCAGCTCGGACGAGAATTTTCAAAGGAAAGTCGGGAGGCCCTGGCACGAAGACCCTGCTGCCTGTAATTTTGGCTTTGTATAGCATGCACAATGCGGGAAAGCGGTTGGGGGGTCCCGCGCCGTCTAGCGGAGAATACTCGTCCGAACAAGGTGTTAGGGGAGCGAAAGGAGGAAGGGGAGCGGCGCTTGGGCCGCCCCCCTGGCTTGCAGAGTTCACATTTTCGGCGCGGAGTTGCTGTTTTGGTTCACTTGGAGGGCCTCCTATCCATCTGTGTCAAAATCTGAGGTACGTCAATCTGCCGAGCCGCTGCCTCTAAGGTGTGGAGGGGGGGGGGAGACAGGGGAAGAGCTACAAATGCGTGGTCAAAAGTTACATCGTATATAAGATGAGGAACTTTGCTGTAATCTGGAATGCAGATGTTCTTTGACGTACGACACGACAGCACTATGTTAGGTTATTAATAAGTTTTGCAATTACTTTTACGATTTTTTTTCTCACTAATTAAGAGACGCTCAAGTTTTGCCAATATGTAGGTTATAACATAAGCTGCAATAGCATAAGCTACTGTTGTGCCAAATTTCGACGGCGCGGTGAGGGTTACGGTGCGTATATGGTATAAGCAAAAAATAGAGATTGTCACAAATTTGACTAATAGGCTTAGAGAGGTTACCTCACATGCTGATCACGAATTTGGATAGGGGCTCTTTCGTAAGATTACTGTAGGTTTGCGGTATAAGGTCTCGACTTCTCTTCGAATTTCATTTCTTTTTTATTGCATTAAGTAAGTTAACCTTTAACGATTTATGTACAGCTTTGGAACGTTGCGCATGACCTGGGTTGAGAACGGCTTCATTTGCAGCTACCATCCCATAAATCCTCGAATTTCACTAGTTTTCGGAAAATCCTTGGATTTTTCCTATTTGTCATCAAAAAGCGGGCAGTTTGTGCCAGCCTGTAGCCCACATGGCAGTTTATACAATACCAGAAAGTAAGCGCGCCATTATGAAAAAGCGAAAAGTTACGGACTCATTTGCAAAACTAGTTAGCAGCCTAATACATTCCGCATGAAAGGCCCTTTTGGGGCAAGGCATGATGTCAACGTTAATCCGCTGTAAATTTGCATAAAGGGTCATTTGAAGTGCTGATCATGATCATTATATCCACTGCCTTGGCGTTACATAGCATGATCTACGTATAGTGTGATACCTATCTCAGATGTACAGTGAGGACTTCTACAAGTGTATATGTTATTTCTAAAATAGCGTTGAATAACCTATCTGTGGTACCGCAAATTGTCAAAGAAGTGCGCGAAGTAGAAAAGTCTCAGGTTGTACTTCTCGGTCGCGCAAGAGCACTATGCCGATTGAAATGACGAATAAGTTCAACGTAAGCAACAGCATTCCTAGTGAATCTTCAAATAGGCGATGATAACGCGTTAACAGAAATCAGAACTACTACATTTCACTGATCAGATGTTAAATCAAGGTCCACGAGACACAGACGATATCCTGCGTCAAGTCTAGCAAAAAGATGCAGCAGAAGCAGCGATGGGTAACATCAGTTGACGTCCGAACGCATGCTGCTGTGTTGATAGTGGCTGATTTCTTCGAGGTGAGCATTACAACAATACGTCAGCAATCACGTCATTCATTCACACTCACAGCAATCGCTGCCAGCAACAAGGTCAAAGCTGAGCAGAAACTCGAGTCGAACACTATCCCATTAATTCACGGGAATTTCCGCAGAACAAGCAAAATTTGCAGCTATTTCTCAAAATTTTTGCTACCGGTGACCCTGTAGATGAACCTGCCTAAGTGCCTGTCATTCTGAGAAACTGAGAAGAACAGATGGTTTATGTACACCTTACAGAGTAATATTAGGTTGGCACCAGTGCATCAGTGACGATGGCGATCGCAGGATTTCCGTCCGGGAGGGGATGGGGTGGGGAGTTTTTTAAATGAAGGTGTGTGGTATTAGCCACGCACTCCGAAAAAATTTTTGGGATGCTCCTCACGAAAAAAATTTTTATAAGCCTTACATGAATTTTTGAAAATTTCCAAAAGTTAGTAGGCTATTTTAATTACCTATTTAGAATTAGAAACAAGTCATTTACACATTTTTATATCCCGTATAAGTAACTTTCATAAATCTCGCGATCCATTCTCGGTGGGGGGGGGGGGGGTCGGTCCGCCACGGATTGGCACATTTGCAACTTATTTCGTGAGTTTTCTCTTTTTTATTGTAACTCACTTATTTTTGAGCATAACGTAGATTAGCTAGTAGGCTACAAACATCCGCGAACAGTTTGATTTTTAATAGCAAAGTGGAGAAAATTTACGCATTTTTCCAAAGCTGGTCAAACACATTGACCAAAACTGTACCCGGATTGTTGATAGAGGAATCTCTAATAGGGGAATCTATACAGATTTGGTTCGTTGTGTTTGATTCAGACTGAGAACGGCTTTATTTTTGGTTTTCCGACGTGTGAGACTTCGAAAAATGCGTAAATTTTCTCTACCTCGCTACCAAAAATTAAACTGTTCGCGTATGTCTGTAACCTACTGCCTAAACTACACTTGCTCAAGAATGAATCACACAGTCAAAAAAAGAAAAGTTACGAAATAAGTTGCAAAACATATGTGCCAACCTAATATTCGGTTGGCCCGAAAGTCCGTTCGCACGACTTTCAAAAATTCATAACTTCTTTTCTAGAATTACTTGCATAGTTTTAATTTTATTTGAAAAAGAAAATCAAGTGTTCTACAACGGCATTTGAAAGATTTTCTAACATGCAAAAATTATAGAGAAAATGCGTAGAAGAAAACTACTCTAAATTACCATAAAATTACCCTAAAATTGGAACAGTGGTATTTTCTATGTAGTGTTACCAAAAATCTGGAGCTTGCACTAAAAATCGGAACAGTGCAGTGGCGGTCCCAGGATTTCGGTCCAGGGGGGGGGGCGGTACAAAAATTTTTCGAATAAATGTGCGTGGCATTAGCCACGCACTCCGAAAAAATTTTTGGGATGCATCTCAAAACTTTTGCGGATCCATAGCCCCTACAATCTAGAAAGAGGGGACGTGAAAAAAATTTTTACAAGGCTAATTTGACTTTTTAAAAAAATTTTAAAAATTATTTTATTAGCAAAAATAAACAAGTCCTGTAAAGTCGCAGGGCTTCTTTGATACTTGTATTGTTGTCTATTGTGTGTATCTAGTCCTTCTTAGCCGATTTGCATGTGTTTATTTGGTGTTTCAATGGTTTTACTAGGTTTTGATTGTTTCCTGTCGAAACCACGCGATCGGGCGCGCATGCAAATCTTCTCGGGCCGCTATATAAGGCGGCTGCGCTTGGCTCAAATCAGTCTTGTCGTCGGTGCTACGAGGAGTGCGATCGTATCTTAATCGAGGAGCCAAGCCGAGGAGACGTGAACGCGACGATCGCCTGGAGGAGCATCATACCCCTGGACACTACGCCGAGCCCCCGCAATAGCGCCTACCCTGAGGCCTCCTATTGTGCTTGACAGTCCTCTCATTTTTATATCCCATGTAGGTAATTTTTAAAAAAGGTATGCTAATTCTCATGGCCTGCTCTTTTCATCTAAGCAAAAAAATATGTCAGTTGAGATTTTCCTTGAAAAAATTATGAGTTTCGAGAAGCAGTACAGAGCAAAAAATTTTCGGGACTTTTCTCTGTAACTAAACTTTTGGTAAAAACGCTCAATCCAGCACAAAATTTTCTCAGGTAGAAAGAGGAGGTCGTAAAACTCATGAAACCAACATTTTTGGCAATCTTAGAAGATAGAAATTTGAGTAATTTTGCTCTACAGCTTCTATCTCTGCAGTGTTAGTGAGTCAAAAAGTCTTTCAACGTTGTTGTGAAGCGCATGACTTAATTTTTTGAATAGATTCAAAATTTTGCAATTATTTCAAGAAAGCGAGGTCCTGATTTTTTTTTGAAAAGTGTGCAAGCGAACTCTTAAGCCGACCTAATGGTTTGCCTACATCTTACAGAGGATTTTTTTTGAAAAATTATAAGTTGTTTTTCATTGATGATCAAAAAAGAGGAGTATCAATCAGAAACGGCTTCCCTTCCAGAAAGAAAGTACCCGCTTTTTGCGAATGAGAGAACTTGTGGGAATCCAAGCACTCACATCAGATGAAAATCTTAACTCAAATTCTCTACACTTCCAGATGTTATCCCAGCAGAGATTTTGGATTTTATTTCTGCAACTTCTGCAATTTTGATGACGACACACAAATCTAATTTCAAGATATTTGCAAAAATAGTTGATGACACCTCAGCATGATAATCAGCATGGAGATTTTTGCACAATTTCGAAGTCTTGTCCCTCAACCTGTTTCCTGCGCTCAAAAATTGTCAAAACAGCACCCGTCATAGATATTAGAAAAGACAGCTTTTCTAAATAATTTGAGGATTTACTGTCAATAGATCATTGGTGAACAACACGCTATTCCGCCTAGCCTCCATATGCACACTTATCGTACCCGTACCTATCGTCTTACCGCAGAACTGTGAACAATGAATGTTTTGTGAGGAACTGACCGGTCGTGAATGTTTCGTTGCAAATTACGAATATGTCCCTTGTGATCATTACACGCACATATTTTCCATCATTACAGATTTAATGATAAGAGATCGAATGTACAGTTGGTAGTCATCATGCGGTATGTAGGAAATTTACAAGACACAGTGGAGTGATAGAAAACAGAGTTAGGTAGAAAACGTAGGAATAGCACAGGGACCAGGTTTGCCACCTATGAATTTACATTAGTCCGAGATCATATACAGTATCCGGAAAAACAACACTTTCCTCTGCTATCCATGTGTAGTGTCATCTTCCACAAAGTCATATGCTTGTTCCTTGGTGACAACATCAATATGCGAAACCTAGCAAGGGTGTTTTTAAAACCAAAAATTGATACTTATCTTTTTTTTCTAGAAACTCAAAGCTTACCTTATTTCTAAACTTCACACCATAATACTTCTCCGCTGACTCAAGCAGCTCTGGCCGGAAAGTGGTAGTGATAAACTGTGCATTCTCCGCAAGTTCATGAATCATGTCTAAAAGACAATTTTGAGCTAATTTTCAGAGTACTTAGAATCAATTAGTTGACTGACCAGCAACTGCCTTTCTATGTTGCGCATCTAGAGCAGCATCGATTTCGTCAAACAAATAAAAAGGTGCCGGGTCACATTTCTGGATGGCGAAGATAAGGGCAAGGGCAACCAAAGATTTCTGTCCACCAGAAAGCTGCTCCATTTCTCTAGTTTCAGAAGCTCCATTGAATGAGACCTAGATTTCCAGAAGTACAATGAAAACTACGCAAGAAAAAAGGAAGAAAAAACGAAACCATAGATAAAAGGGAAAAGAAAATGAATGATACCTTAATTCCGACTCCCACAAAATTCTCCACCAAATGAAGATCTTGGTCAGGTTGAGAAGCATCAAAGGTGTCCTGCAGATTCAAATAATGTGGTGTATATTGCAAAAGTAAAGCAAGAACTTACATCTTTATTCTTCGTTTGTATCACCAGAGATCCGCTTCCATTTGGCACCAATTTTTGGAACACTTCGGCAAAATTCTTTGAGACCTAAGCACAAACTAAGTGTACATTTTCAAACAAACGCATGGTAAATTCACCTGTTTGAAAGTAAGCTGGATCGCTTCATACTTCCTTGTATCCAGAACTTGCAGAAGATCTTCGATGGACTAAATAATAGTGAATTAATTGATGGAAAATCGACAAAAACAATACCTTTTGACTTTTCTGCTGCTCCTCCATTCGTTTCGTAAGATCTTCCTTTTGCGAAGCAGCTTGTACAAATTGATCCAAAGCCTGGAAAGATGACTTACAACTAAGTACATGAAGAGCGTAACAAAGGCAACAACCTTTTTGTTAACATTTTCGTATTTCTTCAGCTCTTGCATGCACTCTGCTAACTTCTTATCCAGTTGTTTTGCAGACAATCCTTGGTATTTGGAGAACGCATCTGTTGGTAGTGATCCAAGCTCACGAATCTGTAAGCGTTCATGTCATATCTGTTTGACGCATCTGGAACCGAAAACAAACCTTTTTGATACTCTCTTCTCGTTTTGACTGTAGCGTGCTTTGTTTCGTGAAGATTATGTCAGCTTGCTTGGAAAAGTCAGCGAGCTGAGCCTCCAAATCTTTTTGTTGCTCCTATGATGAAATCAGTTCAGTATTATCTAGCTCCAAAAATTAAGAAGAAATCAATAGACCTGCACATCCTCTAACTCTCTATTCAGTTTTTCTGCGCTTTCATCGTACTCCATGAGACACTCATCCAACTCTGCGATGCGACGAACAATTTCGTTCAGTCTATAATAAGGAAGTGTCTGTAGTATTTAGGGCGAAGCAAGACTAGGACTAACCTTTGTATAACCGAATTCAACTCAGCTGATTCAGCCTGCAGATTGTGACGTTTTTCATCCACAGCAATGTCACTGATTTTCTGAAAGGTTGATTTGTTCATTGAATCTATGCGCCATCATCATTGATAAAACTGGTCATAGACGTACCGCAGTCAAACTGTCGCGCTTGCGAAGCAAATTTGTCGTCAGCTGATTCTCGAGCTTCTGTTTCGTAGTCTCAAGAACACTACGCTCTTTAGACACTTGATCCAGTCTATGCTTCTTGTCAAGGATATCTTTCTAGAAAAAGGAGAAGACAAATCCTCCGATAAAATTATAACAACTCCGTAGCAGCAAATTACCTGCAGTCTCTCACATTCAGCCTGTTCGTTCCTACTGAGCTGAGAATGAAAATCAGACCCAATCTGACCCTCATACCCTTCCAACTGGGCGCTCAACTCGCGCACTCGATTCCGCAAATTTAGGAGTTGAGCCTTCTGGAATTATAAACTGTCACATGGCTTTGTAGACTAAGACGTTTATATGCAGAATAAGTTATCAAGAAGTATCTGACCTTTGGCTCACGATTTCTACCCATCGCATGTAGCTGTTCACTTGCATAGCGTTTCTTTTCCGTGAGATTTCGATGCTGCTGTTTGTATACGCGCATATCATTGTCTGCCTTGAATAAAAGACTTCAAAAATAGATCTGTCTTACAAGGAGAGGATATCTAGTTGAAAGCACCAATCCAAGGGAGACATACATCATCTGAAAGCGTTTGAAACGCTGGTTCCAAATCTATAGTTTTTAGCTGCGGAACGGTTTTGTAAAAAAAAGTTATGAGAGGTGTTTTCCTCTGGGGTTGAGGGCGCCCCTCAGATGTCGGTTCCTGTCTACGAGCATTACAGAAACACAAAATGGTGTAATGGTAAGAAATCTGAATGAAGATTACAATAAGGGTTATAATACTCATATTACTTTGGTTTTAACATTTCTAACTTCGACTAGCATCAATATCATCAGAGATGTCGGGCTTCAGGGCTCCAAAGCCATTTAGAAGCTCAGTTTTGCAAAAATTGCGATAAAAGTGCATGCGAAGGGATTAAAATCTTGACACTTTCCCTATCAAGCAAGTCACTTACCATTAAGCCATTTGCCACTAGTTGGTACTCCTCTACAGTGCTCATAGATAAGCGGAGACCTGCTGGAGGGCGCCTCAACCACAGAGGGGAACACCCCTCATACCTCCTTCTACAAAACCGTTCCGGCTGAGAAACTATAGATTTGGAATCAACGTTTCAAGCGCTTCAAGATGATATATGTTTCATTTGAATTGGTGCTCTCGACTAAGTATCCTCTCCTTGTTAGATGTTTCCAATAAGCACTTGCAGCAACAATCTCTTGAAGAAGGCAGCACCAACTGCAGCTCACCTTATCAATCTCCATCTGTATTTTTTCAACAGCAGTCATTTTGTCATTCACTTTGCGCTGAATCTCACCAATCGTAGTCTAAAAATAGGAAGCGGCACTAAAGTAGAGTTTAGCGACAACTTGTTTACAGACTTGTAGCTGATCCCTATTCATTTGCTGACCACGAATACTTTTATGTAGTTCCAGTTTCGACCTTTTTGTGTCAATGTAACCACCGGTGAGAGCACCTCGACGGGAAACCTGAAAAAAGGTGATTTATTCGAAAATCATAACCGCAATGCTATGAAGTGATTCACAAAAAACACTTCTGCATGCTAGCCTTTTTTCAGCAGGTTCAAACTTCCAGTACGGCCATTTTAAAGGCTGTGAGGCAGTGAGTGAGTCTCTCACTCAACGAGTTCAATGATAAATGAATCTTCGAAAACGAAAAGCAAAAAAAACTGCGAAAAAACCGTATATATACGCATGTATGTATACGTATATGTATACGTTGCAAACTCACTTAAAGGGAGTGTCCCGGCAGATTTTGCACCTCCACCTTTTTGCATGTTTTAGGCCTTTTCGCCACGTAGAATCCGAATTTGAGCTTTGAACGGTATGAAAAGGCCGATTTTGGGGCGTTTTCCCAATTCAAGCAGCTTGGACGAGATTTTTAATAGAAAGTTGGGGGAGGTCCTCAGACGAAGATCCTGCCGCCTGTAATTCTTGCTTTGGATAGCATGCATCATGGGGAGAGCGCTCGTGGGGTCCTTCGCCGAACAGGCGGGAAGGCCGTCCAAGCGCGCGCCTGTTCAAGGGCCATTTTCTCGGCCCAGGGGGAACATCACCCAGCCGGAGTGCGCCTGAAGGTCGATGGGGTGACCACGAACCCCACCACACGTATATCCCCCAGGACCCGAATCTGCCGGGACACTACCTTTAACTATACCAAGCGAATGCTAAAAATGAGCAATGCCGAAAACATACCTGATCGCCCTCGAGAGTCACACAGTCAAAACCCTCACTTCTCGCAAAACGAGCACCGAGATGCAGATCACGAACAATAGCAGTGCCTTAAATTGCCTGATCTATGGTCTGAGAAAGTTATTTTAAGAACTTACCAGCGAAAACGTTGCGGAAAACCGCATCATAATATTCATCGTAGTCGAAAACATCGAGAATAGCTCGACCATCCTAAAACATTGCTATAATACCTACCCAGAAGATGTTACACACATGTGCATTCCACTATGGAAACTACACTTACCGCATCCTGATATTCTTTGCGAGGAGGTGCAACAATCCTATTTACAGGGAAGAAGTTGCATTCACCAGGAAGATTTTGCTGATTGAATTGCCTCATGATTTTCAGTGCGACTCTTAAAACGACAGCAATTTTTCAAGGACAGATGTTTTTGTGACATACCTATCATCGGAAACAACATGAAACAACAAGCGAGAACCAGCAGTGATCTCTACGGCTTGGAAATAGACAGGATCGCAGTCAATGAGGTCCAGTAATAGTCCTAGAAGATGAAAGGAAAAAGGACTCAAAGAATATAAAGTTTCAAAATAAAAAGGAACGGACCATGGTAGCCGTTTACAACATCATCATGGCGACCATCGATGTTATTGTCACGATACCATTGAACGATACGTCTGACTCCTTCAACGCCGTTCGTTATAGACTAAAAGATGAAAATAATCTGGATCCAGTAATGGAGACTATTCCAAACATTTGCACACAGAAATTCACCAGGAACTTTGAAAAGTAAAAATAAAAAGAAGATCACCCTTGGAGCCAGGTAACGCATTTGCTGCTCCATTTGAGCAAGCTCGGCATTTACTGTAGCTAACTGCTCCCGCACTGCTTTTTCCTCACGAGTTGCATCTCTGAAGAATTTCACATTATGCGGGAAGAAAAATGAATAAATTATCCATGCACTCACAATTGAGCAACCATTGCTTTGTCGAACTCCTGCTTCAGTCGACCATGTTCTCCGCTTGCTTTATCCATTCGGATATGGTTTTCTTGTAGCTCTACGCCTAATTCCTGAAAAACCCACACTAGCTGCAACTTACAGATCAGCACACGATAAATTACCTGCACATGCACAGTCAACTGTTCCTCTTCACGTTTCTCCTCTTCAAGGCTCTTCTCAATATCAGTTATCTGCTCTTCTGTGTCTCCGATCTGTCGGGTTATATGGCGGACTTCTCTCCGAAGAAATGCATCACGTTCTTCTGCCGACTTGAATTGATCTCTGGAAGAGCACAATATTAGATGGATGATAGTCAAACAGCTATGAGGTTAGTGAACTTCAGAGAAGTCTTCAAGCATTAAAGAATGAAAAGAAGAACGACGACGGAAAAACTCACTTGTGTCCCTGTTTGGCAAACAGTTCTTTTGATTTGGTCTCAGCAATTCGTATGTCAGACGACAGAGCGGATTCTAGCTCAACAAGCTCCTGCAATACGTGGGTACAGCCAAAGACTAAAAAGCTCAGAAATGACGAGTACCTGGTATTTTGGGACTATACGTTCCAATTCCTCCTCTTTCTCGCGGATCTCCGCTTTTATCTGATTGAGCACATCTTCTGCTCTATTCCGTCCACTTTTTTCTCTGCAATTTGACTCTAAGGTAAACAAAAACCGAGGAAAAACAACTATGCACCGCAATTTTTACGGTGTGACAATGACGAGAGCTTACTTTTCTACGTCCTCTCTGAGATCGTTGATCAACAAATCCAGCTCAGCCTTCTTTTCAAACCTTTCCGCTTGCTCAGCGACAAGTGCTTCCTGGAAATAATCAAGGTCTAAACAGTCTATCCACTAATTCTAACCACTTTAGCTTCAAATTTTTGAACTTTTTTTCTAGCTGGGTTGCCAAAGTTAGTATGTTTCTAATCAGTTAAACTTTATTGTGTCCTTAGAAAGCGAGAAAAGGTGTCGCCTGCTAGGTGAACTCATAGCATCTGATAGGAAATGAAGTCAACACAAAAGAAAATGTGCAACTTCAATTCCTCGAAACTCTTTCCCACAGATTTTTGGATAGGATGTGATTACTTCAACAAGTTCAACTGGGAAGTTCAACTTTTTGAAGTAATTCACTATTCGTAGATCCACGTGATACCACAATGATCTAGCTCAGCATAGTATGATGCGAGAAAAAACTGAAAAGTTAGATGTGATCACATGATCACACTCAAGTACAAAAAACTACCACATCGCCTTTCGCTCACCTTTTCCTCCTTCATTCCTTTGAATCGCGCTTCCAACTTTCTCTGCTCCGCGCTTGCTCGGACACCTCGCGCTTGAACTTCACCAAGTTCGCTACTGACCTATATGAAAAAATGATGTAGTGATGGTAAAAAAGTATTCCATTGGTACCTTGTTCTGCCTTGTGCTAAGCTCTTCCCTTTGATCCAGCAGCCTATCCAACTTCTTTCGAGTCTCGTTTGCTTCAGTATCATAAATGGTGTACTCTATGGATCGCTTCATTTTATCCCACTTCTGGTACTCTTTGAGATCTTCTTTTTCTTCTTCCAAGGTCTTCAGTCGCTCGTCAATGTAGGACAATAACGTCTCAATCTTCTTGGTTTTGTTATCTGAAGGAGACATGTTAGAGTGCGAGATTCATGGATAAATGCTGATAAGACGCACGCGTTTCTTTGAGAATCTTCAAGCTTTCCTCTTTTCTTTCGTCGTACACTCGCGTACCAGCTACCTCACGCAGAAGCTTCAGCCTAAAACGGATCGGTTGTGCCGCCTATTGCCCACATCAGCTAATTTACCTATGAGAATCTGGCGCTGTAGCTAATTCGTTGATCTTTCCTTGTTTCACGATGTAATACGGATTAGATCGAGAAAAGCCAGCCGATTCCATAAGATTGACTACCTAAAAAAACATAAATCGTGACCGAACTTCCAAATGAGCGTATACCCTATTGTATCGTGAAGGCGTTCCTATTATACAATTTTAGCCTAGTAAATCAAGAAAATAATATCGGTTCCATAAACTTTGCGCAGCATGGAAATTTAGCTGCGCAGTACACATTACTAGGAATACGGTGATTATATCTACAACAATCACACAAAACATATCACTTGCCTCGGCACGAGGGACCATCTTGCCATCAATGTAGTACTGATCTTTTTTCTGTCCAACTTGACGGACTACTCGCACCTCAGTTGCCTCTATCTACAATGACTAGTGAACAACATAAATCCTGCTGTATCAAAATCGTAGCACATACAGCTGGGATTCGTCTATCGGAATTATCGAAAACAATCTCCACACGAGCGGTATTGATTCGTGGTCCTGTTCCCTCATGCAAGACTCCCATCCTTTGCTCAGAACGAAGACTGCTGAACTCATCGCTCAGCACGAACTGGATAGCTGTAAGTTCCAAAGAGCATGGAGAAGAATAAATAACCTAACAATTTACGTTTGAAGCTGTTTTCACAATTATACACCAAGATTTGAATGAAAAACGACAAAACGACCCTGTACAATGAATGACCCGACTTCTTTGCGAGGTCTAGATCTCGCCAGAATTTTGCATGAATCACTGTGTGGGCAAAAGGGTTGTAGGGATTTGTGCTTGTAAAAGCACATCTCCAACTTAGTTATCGTTGACCGCAGTGGTGGATCATTTTAGATGAAGTGAGAAAAACGTCCAGAAAATTTTATAAAGTACGGTATGTCGTGTGCTCTGCCGCTGATTCATTAGCCGTACCGTCCAATTTTGGCAACGAATAACTCTTTTCATATAATACCTAGTTTCGCAATCAAAGGGCAGTGTTCAGACAATTTTGGACATAATCTGAGTGAAAACTGATGCCTCTTACAAGACTGCCTTTGTGAGGACAATCCCACGGCCAAAAGCTTCATTCCCATCTAATCGCGCACTACCGTATAATCTAGTGCACCTGAATTATGCGATAATGCCCGTTGGGCGATGTATTAGATCGTTCCGAAAATTCTGTCGTTCCTTTTTTTAAATTTGTAACTTTTCGCTATCGATAGATTTGCTTCTTCGTTATTTTATTGGAAAGAAGTAGTCTTCCTCCTTGTGAATATATCTTCATGAGCTCTGTTATACACGCATCACAAAGATAATGATGGAAAAGACCATTCATGTTCTTATTTTGAGTTAAGTCCCAAAAATCTGGAACGTTGCGGAGATAACTGAAATTGTCTGTACATAAGTTTTATAGCCTATTCACTGCAGGTGAGAAAAAATTGCGCCGTAACGTTTCTGCAGAAAATAATGATTTTTCGAGAGATGTGACAAATTGAGTCGGTTTTAGCGTTTTTTGTCGCAAACTCAAAACTCATAACTTCTCGCAAAGACCTTTGAACAGCACAAATCTTTCTTGTTTACAAGGAATACGCCATAAAACTTATGTACGGACAATTTCAGATTTTTCTTCGACGTTCCAAATTTCTGGCGACCACTCAAAAAACAAAGCCTAAATGGTCTTCCTTTCCATTTTACGCCGCAGTGAGTGTGTAGTAGAAGCTCATCAAGATATATTTTTAAAAAAATGGGACATCTTCTTTCCAATAAGATAATGAAGAAGCAAATCCGCCCAACGGTCGGGCAGGAGGCAGCAAAGGCTTGCCGCTTCTGCTTATGGAAATACCTGAGGACCTTCAGACTTCCTCGCGCCTCTAATTACTTCTTCGCACCTTTAGTCATGTGATATGACCTATGTCCGATTGTTCGTAAACTTTCAAGCATGGCAAATACCAGTATAGGTTTTATGTTTAAAATTCATAGCAAATGTAGAGATTAGCCTAATTCAACTTCAAAGGCGCTATAAAAATCTCAGATTTTTGAGTTGATTTGGACGCATAACTTGATATCAAATCTTCAAGTCGGATTCTTGAACTAATTCTTGTAATTATTTCTCATTTTAGTCATTCCATTTGAAGGCAAGAATTTTGAAGACTGTTAGCATATGTCTTTCATTTTATGGCAGACTTACTCCTTTCTCCTGCACGGCTTTCAAAGAAAATCGCCCTAAACCCGATATTTCTCTAAGCTGAAACTTATTATGGCTGAGACTGGATAAAATTGCAAGAGTTCCAAATTCATCCAGAGTAAATTACTTTTCAAGAAGATTTTCGTTTGATCCTCTGTAAAGTAATCAAAGGTGCGAAGAGATTATAGGCGCGAGGATGTCCCGAGGCACTTCCAGAAGCAAAGGCGGCTAGCCCTTGCTGCATCCTGCCTGACGTCCAATCCGCCCGATATAACCCGACGGATATAGCAAAGAGGCAGTGGCGTATCCAGGATTTCCGTTCGAGGAGAGGGACAAAAGTTCTTTCTGATGAAGGTGCGTGGGGTTAGCCACGCACTCCGAAAAAATTTTTGGTATGGTTCCCAAAATTTCTGCGGGCCCCTAACCCCGAAAAAAATTTTTTTCAAGGCTAAGTTGATTTTTTTAAAAATTCAAAAAATTATTTTAATTTTCTACAAGTGTAAACAAGTCACTTGCACCTTTTTATTACTCATATAACTTTCAAAAATTTCAAGACCATTCTCGGGGGGGGGGCGTCCAGAGGAAATAGCTATAGCAGATTACTTTTCAAAAATGAAACAACAGAGCTCCCGGAACAACCTAATAAATGGTCCCTATAAGTTATAGGTTACCATGTGAGGATTTCGTATGCCCAGATTTGTCTAGAAACCGCCTTCAAGCTCAATTCAAAAGGGTTTGTTAGCGGAAAACCACGAGCCCTCCCCACTCCCCCCAAGCAGAACACTCAAATGCCATGAAAGCGGTAGTGGATTTGAATTTCATTGAACCTTGACAGCTATGATTGCAGATTTTGCAAAAAAGTAAAGTCACGACTTGTAGTCATGAGCTTAAATGAAGTGGTACAACTAATGTCAAAAGCTGCGCTGAGTTTCATCAGGATATTAGCTATGATTCCACGATGCCCCATATGATGTGAACTGTCCCACTACTCTGATTTTGATTTAGCGGGGAAAAAACTGATAAACTGACCAAAAAAGAAGTTGGACTTCCCACTACCGTTGCGACCCACGATCACATTGTGATGTGGTGAGAAACTGTCAATACTCGTGACTTCTCGATAGCTCCGGAAACCAGTGATGTTGACCTATAACTTTCATCACAAAGCTCTGAAATAAGTGAAGAGCTGCACGCTAACCTCTTTGATGTGCATAGTTACCTCACAAGATGGTCATTGAATTACCTAAACGGATTGGAGATTTGAGAAGCGCTAAAACAAGATAGATAGAAGTTTTATATGTTGATTTTGGCAAAAACAAGCAAGATACAACGAAGATCAGACACACAACATAAGCCACAACATATTTTATTTACTGCAAAAGCATTCAAAATTGAAAGATCGAAAATATCTTGCTTTGGCGCGCACTTTCTTATCCGAGCAGCTTATCCCCATTCAATGTCATTTTGTTCGTCATGGCTTATCTAAAAAAAAGCGTGAAAGTTTCGCATATTGTGAAAGATTTTTGCTGTTCTTGGTGGTTTTAATATTTCATGTATAGGCTAAGAGTTTTCTTTTCTAGGTGTTTGGAAGCGGGTGATGTTCCATTCTAGTCAAAAGTGATCCTGGTTATATGTAAAAAGGTAGTTTTGACTGTGGATCGCCAGCATGCGATAAAAACTGAATTCAGCTATGGGTAATGCACACTCCTCATCCAGTACATCCGATGTTCTCCCTGTGGAATACTATCTGAACGATCTAGCGTGTGGAGAGCCGATAGAAAGGTAAGGCTGGTGGATCTAGCTATATTGACCAAAACTCGCTTCTTCCAGTCTTGGAAGCACGCGCTTCATGAAAGTGGCACGAGGGCGTAACAGTGAAGGAGCATGTGTTTGGAAAGTTTTTCTTACGCAGGTTACTTTGTTTCATTCTAATACTCTAGAACTTAACAACATTGAGTGTAGTGTTTACAAGGTTGTGTGATTTAGAGATTCGGTCTCAATCTTCGTTATAGGAATTGGGTACTATTCCACATTAGTTGACCCAAAAAATGAAAATCGTGAATTCGCTAAAACTTCGTCTAGGGGGGGGGGGGTTATTTGGCCCGCCGAACGCGAATATGATGTTTATTTCGCTCGGGAGCGCCATTTGGTGAGGTTACGATAAGATTACGATTGCACCCGGACCCGAACGATTACCCGGATTTGCCCGTTTAGGGGGGGGGGCGGATAATGGGCATGCTGAACTTGAATAGGTGCTTGTTTCCGTGTAGAAGTTACGGTGTCTAGACATGTACTGTAGTGACAGTATTGGGCACGAATTTGCACTCGATAGCAAAACGATGCCTTAACAATTCATAGACGAAGTTCCGGGCAGATCCGGGTTTGGACCCCCTACCGTAATGCTATCGTAACCCTACCGGATGGCGCTGTCGCACGAAATAAACATCATATACATGTTCAGCATGCCAAGTAACTCCAAGTAAAGTTGAAGTTTCGGCAAATTCGTGATTTTGACCCCTACCGTAACCTTACCGTAACTTCACCACATGGCTCTCCCGAGCGAACTAAACATCATATTCGTGTTCAGCGTACCAAATAACCCCCTTAAACGAGGTTTTAGCGAAATTCACGACTTTCGTTTTTTAGGTCAACTGATGTGGAATAGCGCCTAGAATTGTTCAAATGACTTGTTTATACTTGTAAATAATTGGAAAAAAACAAATATGATACTTGGCATAAGCGGGCGAATAACCTCCACCATAGATTTGAGCGAAATTCACGACTATAAAATCTTGGGGCCCGGGTAGCCGAATAACTACCACATTTAATTTAAATTCATGTCCGAATGTAAAGGAGCCTTTTCAGGAAGATTCATCAGTACTTGAACCATACCGTAAAGAAATTTTTCGGATACGTGATGCTCTTGTCAATGCACCGAATTGTTGTACCGTGAAGAGAATATACGTGAGTGTTTGTTTTTTATACTTACCGTTAGACTAATCTGTTGTACTTACCAGTATGTTTTTATTATTGTTCCTAGAAGAGCATCGTATCGTTACTATGAGCTATTGATATTGAAATCAAATTTGTTGCGTTTTCATACTTCGCAAGAATCTTTCATGCTCCTTCTTTGTCTTGCATATAATGGGCTTTAGGTGACCCCTAAATGCGCCGTCTTGATTCGGCCATTCCAAAAGCAAACGCTATGTGATAGACTCAGCACTCGTCCTTTCATTGTTCAGCAAGAAAAGATTTGGTAAGTTCATGTTTTTGACGATTCTACTTCTTCTCAAACCTTTTTTTCAGGTACATATATCAGCTTTTCAAAGCTGTCTCGCAATGTCAGAAGGTTAATGTCTGCCATGGAGATTTAAAATCGCAGAATATCCTTCTCTCTTCTTCGAATTGGCTCCAGATAACCGATTTTGCTCCTTTCAAGCCAAGTTATCTACCACATGTTAGTGCACTTACTATCTGCTAGTAATCTTTATTTCTTATATATTTGGTCCTGATGAAAGTCCCATCATTTCACTAATTTTTACAGGATAACCCTTCTTCCTTCACCTTCTTCTTCGACACCAGTCGACACCAGCATTGCTACCTTGCCCCGGAACGCTTTCTCTCATCTATCGACTATGAAGTTTTACACAAGGAAAAAGGAGATAAATGGCTTTTTGGTAAGTTTCCTTTTTGTAAATCAAAATTCTTCCATGCCAATGTCTTTCAGGTTCTCTCGAGGCTTCCATGGATCTTTTTGCTGCTGGTTGCGTAGTTTATGAACTTCTACACGAATCAGGCAAACCACCGTTCTCTTATGGCGAACTCTGCCATTACAGGCGAATGTCTGCCAGTGAGGCTGCAACTTTTCTTGAAAGGCATGTTTTTGTAATTTAATTCTTGATATTCACAATGTCGCGTACATCCATCCGCTTCTATCCTTTTGATAGCAATAGTCTTAAAAATGCGGCAATGACAAGCCCAATAGCACCCATATCCTTTACTACTTTATCTGCATTTTTCAGGTTGCTACATAATATTTCTGCTGAATTTCGTCCTTTGTTGAAACTTTTGCTCAATCGTGAGCCATCTATGCGAGTCACAGCTCATCAAGTGGTAAGCAGTTTTCAGTTATTTATAAACTCTATTCTTCCCTTTTCCAGCTAGACGGATCGGTTTTTCACTTTCCCAAAGTGCTTGACTCCTTCTTTAGCTACTTGAACGCTTTTCGTCCAAAAGACCTTACAACTTCGCAGTCACTGGAAGGCTTTGAACAGTCACATCTGACTTTCCAACTTGAACCAGACGACGTCATTGCCAAGTGGGGTTTTACCTATTATTTTTTTCCGTTTCTCTTTTATAAGGTGAATTCAATCTTATGGTTGTTGTTGTAGACTCAAACGCGATGAGAAGTCTTTTTGGGATCGTTTGACCGAGTCGGATGAAAATCGCCCCTACGCCATTCTGTTCATTTCACTCATTACGGCCAACATTCGTGTACTTCGGAGCGTGCCTGCAAAAATAGTTAGTTGGTACTGTCTCATCTTCTTGACGTAAGCTGCCAAATTTACAGGATGCTATGAATTTGTTGATAAAGCTCGCCTCACTGTGTAGTCCAGCGGTAGCAACCGAACGTGTGTTACCATATCTGGTAGGGCAGTTTACTCGGATGCATTTCTTTTGAGGTCAGTATCTAAATGATGCAGTTCAGGTTTCATGCTTGTCCGAGTTCGATGCAAGAGTGCGTGCGGCTGCTGTCCACTCGATCACCGAGCTAGTTCGACCTATCGAACCTACCACGTTCGAAGATTCTCTTGTATTCATAGACTACCTTCTTCCCGAACTAGTGAGCCTACTTTTCAGCAGCATGAACATCTTCTTTCTGTTGGAAGCTTTATATCGATGTGGATCTTATTATCTAATTCTTAGAAAAATTTCTTTCATGTTTCATATATGGAATAATAAAAACGAGTAACAATTCAGTCCTATATTTGTATTTGAAGGCCTCCATGCTGTCTGATAAGCGACATCCATGCCCTACGCATGTGCTTCTAGCTGTTGCAATTAATCTTGGTGATCTTGCTGAAACGGCTTATAGGTATGTTCATTCTGATTCGATTAATTATCGGTAATTATAATCTCTGCACAGATTTCACGTAGTCGGCCGAAATCTGCGAAACGGAGTAGCAGATGATGAAATTTCTGGTGCCGAAAACATATCAGGTAAATACGTTGCGCTTATCGGGGTGGTGATAAAAATTCTTTTCTTCAGAAGCTCAGCAAGCAGCTGATGAGAAGTCAGCGCTGCAGAAAGCTCTTAGCGAGCTCTTCGAAATGCTATGCAGCAGTCAGGACAACAGTGTTCGCCACTGTGCCTTAAATCGGAAGTCCTTGGAAAAGTTATACACTTTCTTCTCACGGATGAATTGTAGGGGTTTTTCATTTATTGTGTGGAAGTGATTTAGGTTTTGCATCATTGTTGTCCAAAAACCAGTGACAAACAACTTGTGAAGTTCAGCCATCTTTTGCGTGTTGCCGAATGAAGAGTGCAAAATTGGATGAACTAACTTTTTTTACTCTTTTGCAGTTAAAGATCACTGCTATTGCAGGTGGTGAGATCTTACTTCGCCATATGATCACCTTTTTGAATGTAAAAAGCGACTGGAGACTTCGAGCTGCATTTTTCGAATCTCTTCCCATCTGCGTGCAAAAGAATCGCCGTGAGTTCGACGTCAAACCGCTGCTTCAACAGGTACTATCGAATGTTTACGAATAGTTTACATATCTTTGTATCTCAGGGTTTGCATGATTTTGAAGAAATAGTTGTCATACATGCTCTGCACTGTACAACGATCCTTGTTGGGACTGGAGTTTTGGAGCGAAATGAAGTACTGGAACTCCTGGAAGACATACTACCGTTTTTATCACATCCGGTAAGTCTTTATATGGTTTTCGGTAGACTGTTTTTTTTCCGCCGTTATTAGCAGCAATTCGAGTTCCTGTGCAATTTTGTCTATTTTAACCTACTTGATTCACATCTTGTAAAGGTGCTGATAATTTCCTTAGAATATAATTTTAGGCAATAGTTTTGAAACGATTACCTTTACTTTATTCTCCCTTCCAGTAAATGTTGTGATGTTCTAGAACGAATGGATCCGTCTGACGGTCATCGAGCTTCTCATCCTCCTTGATTCCCGTTGGGCTCTTGCTGATATACAATGTCGCTTGTTGCCAATGGTTCGGCCATACCTAAACGAAGCTCTCCTTCGTCTGAATAATAAAGTAGGTTTCGATTTTTTCATCGTTTTCCTCCTTCAATGTCTGAAACATATTCACTTCAGCTAGTCGTCTCAACTTGTCTTAAGCAACCTATACCGCGTGATACTTGGAAAAAAGTTACGGAGCTGAGTACTGAACAAACTGAAGCACTACAGTTCATACTTGGTGGGAAAAGACCTGCTTGCTTGCCTCTGAATTACATTGTTTTTTAGAACGTGGAATAAGAGGAGGAGCCATAACTTGTAATGACTCTTGGTTCACGAAGATTTTTGGACGTGATACTGCGGACCCTGAGCTGTTCGAGAAGTTGTCTCGTTTCCATAGGTTATTGCAGAAAATGGCAGAATTCCGAAGGACGTAAGTTCTGACATTCTCACTTCTTTTCCCTTTTCCGGGATGTTGCTGTACGTTATTCCGCAGTATTTTTCATCCATCATTTTAAAGGTTCTTCTCATTTTCAGCGCTGGAATGGAGTCTGAGTTGACTCAGCATAAAGGAATTATTGACCTATCGTCTAAATTGCATGCAAACGTACGACGGAATGCTTATCAATATTTGACGAATAGTACTTCTCAAAACAAAGTGGGTAGATGTTTTTTCTAACTATTAGCTACATCTGGAGTTTTCAGGTTGTTGTGCCGGCAGATATGAATAACGAATGGAATGAGATGTTCGGAGACAGTGATAAGCTCAGCGATGATCGTTCGAATGAGGAACGCAACACGACCAATTTGCAGATGCAAGCACGATCCAGTGAGTGGCTTACCTGGCTTACTTTGTGACGGTGACTGAAAATATCGGCGTTTAGTGAGAACTTCGGTCTGTGGAGCTCAGCTGGCTGAATTATTACAGCATAAAAGCGAGCTTTTCTACAGGAAGTTCGGAGGCGGAGGAGGACTGCGAATGTAAGGCTTATATCCTTCTTAGCAATACTTTTTCATTTTCTTTGCAGGGGTAGCAGACCATCTTCATCCACGGCGAAGATTTCTGGAACACTAATAACACATCTACACGAGCATTCCGACAAAGTTACACAGTAAGTCCTATTTTGCTACAATGGAGTGTTGTGACTGATAACAGTCGTTGAAATTTGATAGTGGATTTTGTAACACCAATACATTACATTTTACATTTTCTTTTTTTTATTTTGTCGTTAATGAATCGGTCAAATGCAAAAGCCTTGTGGTGTATGCTGTTCTTTAAATCTCTTCGTAAGGTGCTGCAAAACTTTTTCCGACTTTTTTAGATTCAAACCTTTCCCATTATGCCATTCAGGTTAGCTGCGCAGCCGGATCGAACTCGCTTTGCTTCATCATCTTTAGACGGTTCGGTTCTATTCTGGAACGTACAAAATGCTGTTGGAGAAGGTTCCGGAGCAATCCGATCCGACGCATCATTTACGTTTGATAAAAGTACTGCGAAAATTAAAACACCCTCTGATTTTCGTATATGGTATATTTCAAGATTATCCCGTCTCATCGATCGGATGGGCTAGTAATGAGATTTTGGCTATGGCAGTAGGTAATGGTCACGTCCTTTGGACAGATAATGGAGGAGGTGACACTCGGGTGTTAACAAAGGTATTTTTTCCCGTCTTCCTCTCTACTCCTGTGCATTCGTAAAATTTTAAGGTGCAACTACCCAGTTTTGAAGGTCCGCCGGAGCAGATTCATGTGTCAAATAATATCACGTACTTGCGAAGCCACCACGGCGTGATATACTGTTTAGATCTCAGGTAATTTTAATGTGGGCACTGTATGCGATTTTCAGTTTGTTTGTAGCGTAATAAGAAAATCTATGAGGGAATAGCATATGTATTTTTCTTGTCTATAAGAATATTTACGATGAAAATCCAGAGTTGGAAGAACGAATGGGTCCTTGGGCTTCCATGAAGTTTGGCGGCGTGAAGTGATCAAATATCATGGCTTGGTTGGTTTTTTTTTTGTTATTTATTCGAAGTGTATATCAGTGCTTTTTTCAGGTGACATCATTTTGCGTTGATCCTTTCATGGAAAATTGGTTGGTAATGTGTAGCACGAATAAAGAGTTGATGTTATGGGATCTGAGGTTTTTCCATTCCAGCTGCATAGTAGGCTATCTCATTCGAAAGCATTTTTTTAGATTCCAAGTGGAAGTGCTTGCATGGAAAACTCCCAATGGCTTGTTACCTTTGAAGTTGTGGTCAAATTCCTTATCTCCATCTATAGGACAAACACCTCCGGAGGTAACGTACCCGCAAAAGTGTATTATGATTCTAGTGAGAAAGGTGGAGAAGTTCCATATACGGAATATTCGCTGACGTTGCTGACTTCGCAGATTTTGCGTTTTCGAAGCGCGCGCGCAATCTTTGTAGGCCAATGTAGACACTCTAAATAATTCTGAGATTGTCATGGTATTACTTAACTTTTAACTTCGTGCGCAAGCAAATCAGCGAATAATGAGAGGAAAATCATGTAACTCCTAATCCTCGTGGATTTCCTCTCATTACATGCTTCCTCGATGTCTTTCCATGACTCTTAAAGCTACATATGTACCCACTTGCAGATCTTTGCTGCATATGGATCCCGAGGAGAGGTCGATTTATTTGAGTTAGGAACTACAGGACCAGTGCGGTGAGCTTTGACTCAGACCTATTTTCTACATATATAATGAATCGCCCCAAATTGATTTGAGGTATATTTTTCCAGATGCCTTTAGTGCATCGGTTGACCGTTTTTCAGAATAATTATTTCCCCTTTGGCATAGAATGCATATTAAACGTTGACGACCGAGTCATTATGGGCGAAACTCCCACGAACGTTTTTCGCGCATTTGGCCCGTGCATGTGCGCGTATGCACGAAAAATTATGTGGGAGCCTTTCTAACGCTAATTCATGAAACATGCGAACTTTGTTCAGAGATACATGTATATCACAGAGTCTTACAAGGACTTATACAAATCGAGATTTTTGCATCGATTTTCCCTCCAATAAACCTTGCAATGGTTAAATCTGAGGAATCCCTCTTCGAGAAAAACGTTGTAACATTATTTTTTTTCTGATTCATCCTTGTTTGCTTTCAAAACAGCTATAGTTTTCACCTTCTCGGAAAACGTAATTAGCATGTATTTACTGCATCACAAATGGACTGATTACCCAATTTTGCGGCCAGAACTCCTGAAGAGCTGCCGCTATGCCCTATGTTCTGTAAGACAATCAGGCCACCATAATATTGCTGCATAGAAGTTAGCTCAAAACTTTTCATCTAACATCTTTACATCTAAAAAACTAGCGTGCATACGCGCGTATGCACGAAAATGCTTAACGAGAGTCAGGGTGTGCATATGGGCATATGGTCGTTAACGTGTTGAATTAATTCAGAACACTATGGCCTTCACTCTCTGATCCATTTACTTATGCACAGTCGAGTGCCCCTGATGTAAGTGCAATGACTTAGCTGGAAACCACTTTTTATTACTTTGACTCCAGGATGATCTTCGAAATGTAACCACAGCTCTTTGCGTATGCCAAGACACTGGGTTTGTCTATACTGGCGACAGCGAAGGCAGTCTCCGTCGATGGAATCTCAGTCGCGCGCCACTTTGCGAGTACATTAGCGGTCCCAGAGAAATGAACGGCAAGCTTTTCCTATCACCTCAGGCACTTCCTCTCCATAATTTTGAACGTGAACTTTAGCACGATCACCATATCGAATCGCGTACAATGAGATGGCAGCCAGTGCCGGGCAACCAGCAACAATCTATGAACTCCGAGTGCCAAATGAGCAAACTAAATTACGAAGTTATCCAGATCTACGGGTAAGCGTTGTTGTGCAGATTGTTTTCCTCGTTATCGTTGATTTTTACCACCGTGCTTAATAGCAAATTAGTCTCATATTGCAATTTTCTTCTGATATGTTAGAAAGCCGTGTGGTATTTGGCGCACTATATCTAGCTTCAAGATCTGCAAATGTAATATGTGAGAGGAATCACAGCGTATACGTTTGAAGAAAAAGAAAAATTTTCAGATCACTTTTGTGGAAATCTTTGGGTGCTACCGAGGGGAGTTGTGCTAAAATGAATAATTCAACAATAGATAGCCCACGCATTGTTTTACAATTCATGACGTATGACGCCTACTTGATGCTTTGAAATATTATTTTGCTCGAAAAAGACGAGTAGACCAAAAGTGCGCCAAATTTTTCCTGTTCATGGGGTGGCGGACTTTATGAACGATAGCGCGCGCTTAGGCAGGCGTGTGTCAATAAGGTGCGCACCGTTAGCCCCGCCTATCGCAAGATGGACGAGCTACTTTCGAGCTTTACCCCCAACCCTCCAAGGTCTCTGAAGGCAATCTGAAGGCATTCAGTATAAAAGATTCAAAACGGCTTTTCTATCTATTATTCGTGGAGTATAGCATGCAGGGTTCTCTCCCATGAAAGGAGTATCACCTGAAGAAGGGATAAGGGTGGAGTGGTTGAGATGAGATCGGTTCTTAAGACAGAGAAAAATGGTTAAGATGTCTTTGCGTTCTGTACAATATTTTCATAACCTCTTTCAGTCACAACCTACAAGCCGACATCGAACTTCCGTTAGCGATGTGTTGTCCCTGCAAAGCGACTTATTGATATCAGGCAGTTCAGAGGGTGTTATTAAGATTTGGAAATAGATGCATGACTACTTATGTGTACACATTGTATAGTTTGGGATCGAAAAAAATGTACAATAAACCTTGCCATTCTTAAGAAAAGTCTTGAACCTTTTATTACATGAAAAAGTCATCAATACAAAATAGAACATTTTGAACACATTTCAAGCGTTTCACGCAGAAAATACAGTAGATTCATCATACAGTATGCACAACTAGCAATCTATCAAGTAATGCAAAGGCAGATTGCGGAGTTAAACATAATAAAATGAAAAAACACCTAAGCAGAGGAGAGAGGGAAAAGGTAAAAGATGGCGAATCTGACTGCATAATGCGGTTGCGTTTCGAAGTAGCAACAGATAGCAAGGGAAAGTGGCCAAAAGTCAACAATAGCCTATCAAAATGAAGTAAGAGGAGACTAGGGATTATATTTGTTCAAGTTATACCACAGATAAACGACGGCGCTAAAATGGCCATGACTATTGAGGTTAAAAGATGACCAAGAAGAGTTGGAAACTACCGATTTTGGTAATCCACGCTTCACTGCACATTTTAGAGAGCACCAAGTGTGACTAAAACACTGAACGAGCTTTTGCCTATGTGCTTACCATCCTGTTGAGCCATTATGGCAATCACCAATCATCGCTGGTTAGACACCACCCACTTTTATCAACTAATTGGATGTACTTTCTCCTCCAAAAAAAGCTAATCTTATATCCTTCACAATTACTTCATCAAGCACTAACAGCCTGATAACCACGCGATCGGCACAAGAGCACATAGCACTTACTGACCAAAAAAGAAGAGAGCATAACGGTGCAAACCACTCAGTCATCCCGATCTTGGATAGGAAAATAGTACTAGAAGAGATCCCATCGTTAGCAAGATATCACAGAGATTGACGAATAAAAATGGAAGAAGGCTGTACATGCCAGAAAGTAAAAAAAACTAAACGGATAGAAATGCTAAATTCTAAAATATGAAAACTGATCAGATTCAAAGGCAGATAACAAGAATGTCTGCTTATTACAGACTAGATCACTTCTAGCACTGGCAAACATAAAAACAGACCATACTGTCCCCCGAATGGCAGAGAAAGACAAGGGTTTCTCGGCTAATCGGACTACTCTTCAGCGCCCTCCTTCAGGCTCGACCAAAGGATATCACATTGAGTGAAGAAACAATCGAAGGGGAATGAAGAGTGATTCACATGTAGTATGCACAGATTAACAGGCTTTGCATTTATGAAAGAACGCGCGTGATACTGGCCCAAGATTTTTAGCGAACTCTGAACCTATCGCAGACTGTGAAACAGGTTCAGTTTGCTCCTCGCTGCTCGCTGCTGTCCAGATTTACTAAATACGTGCCAGAATCGTAAAGTTTCATCTCCAGCGCCTGTCACAATCGACTCTCCATCAGGTGACATAGCCTATAACATTGTCACAATTTGAAGTGCACTTTTATGATGAGTTTTGCAGTGCATTATTGTAAATGGTTCTCCGGATCTTATGAGATACCACTTCGTCAACAAGGATAAGAAACGAGATGTAGAATATCATTTACTTAACACAAATAAAAGTGGAATCGTCCGTGACTAATGCACGGAAGGCCTTTTCAACTACCACCATCATCTAAAAAATTTCAAAAAATCTATAGATGCGCAAGTTTGAAAATGAAACCATCCATATATGTTTCATTTAATAAAAGTGCTACCATTTTCAAATTACTGCGAATCATGCTTTTGAACAGCGAAACGATAGGCATGCGAAGGGTGCGGAACCTCTCCATCACAAAAAAAATTTCAAACAATCAAAAAAACGGAGGAGATTTGCAGGGAAAAGACGCTAGAAAATGGCTGAAACTCACCAAGTACAGAACGCGAAATTGATGACCAGAAAGCTTAGTGACCGGCTGAAGGCTAGGATATTTCCATATTATCACCTGCAATTGGTTTGGATAAATTGAAGATGAGGAAAAGAAGGCTAGACTGAATGAATAATGGATTGATTGAAAAACCATCGCTGTTCACGTTTAAGCAATAATGTGATCTCAACTTCTTTCACGAGACGATGCTATACATACTGGATAATTAACCATGAGCTTATTCAAAATCACTGGATCCGGTGTGCATTTTTGGAGAAATCAAAAAGAGCAAAGAAAAGATTACTGTGAAACAAAATTCAGAATGTCATCAGTTCTCCATCAATGGATTCCGCTATGCATTTTCAAAGAAAACACAAAGAGTAAGGAGAAGATTAGTGTGAAACAATATTCGGAATGACTTCATGTGGTTCTTCACAAATTCACCGATCGGAAAATACACACAATGACACTGATTTTCAATTTTCCATCAGTTCTAGATTTATCGATTACTTGAATGCAGACACCAGCTACAGAAGTGCATTGTGGATGATTTTCGTGAACTTCAGAACCTGCGGCCGCCACAGCTTTTAAGGGGTTGTGCCACATCCCATTAACTATATCAAAAAATCATTTTTAGCGGACAGTATTTATATAAATCGATAGCCTAAACCTTGTAGATTCCATAGGACTGTTTTGAGCCTGATTCGTCCTCTTAGGTCTAAATAATATTTGGTGAAAGCACAGCGATCAAAAGCGAAAAATGGGAAAAACGAGATTTTGGTTGGCTTCTAATTCCACAGTTTGGAGGTCTTCTGAAGCGGGATTCCTGAGGTGGACAAAGAAGGAGTAGTGCTTTGTCTTTAGTGCAAAAATGGATAGCTAATTCACCTTTGAAACAAAGTTAACCGTGTTAGAATTTGACCATTTCACTTAGGTAGCCTAGTATCTTGAATCTTCAGAATTCGCTAACACTTTGTCTACAGGGGTTATTTGACATGCTAATTAAGGATAGGATACGAATATCATGTTATCACTATTATCAGATTACCCAATTACGACCCCTCCCCTTTTGACTCCTCAATAGGACCCCCCCAGGTGTGGCGTGCCGCACCCCACGCTTGACCCTGGTTATGACTACAAGGCTTGATTTCATTTATACGAAAAATCCCTGCTTTTACATGAAAGGAGCGCCACCTTCATATTACCATTCTACTAAGCATCTTGTTGGAAAATGAGAGCTGGTCTCCAAATAAGTGAGCGGCTTGTTTGGTTAGAATCACTAACAAGGAAAGGATACTCGGTCACCGTGGCCATTTGAAATGCGATGTATACTGTAAGATGCACCTCGAAACGCTGATTCCAAATCTGTGTTCGATATCTGCGAAACTATCATATTAAGGTAGTTACGGACTTTTTTTTCGTAAAAAATTTGCGTACTTTTGTGTTGTTAAAACCACCGCACTTAATCTAAGTTACCATTTGAAGCTATTGAAGAGAATCTTTGAAGGAATACTGTTGTATTATACCTATCCAAGTCATATTCAGCATTTGAGAAAGGAAGAAAAAAATTTTTTTTTGATGATTTTGACCCTCCGCAGTATCACAGTTTATTCATGGACAAATAATCATAACTCCATCGAGATTATCGTTTCGCAGATATGGAAGACAGTATTTGAATCAGCATTAAAATGCGCATTTTTTGATATACAACATTATGAATGGCGGTGACCAAGTATCTATCCCTTGTAAGCAAATCTTCAAAGATCAAATCCAATTCGCAGGGAACACTACGCGTTCAAATGTCTTATCGATGAAATTTTTTGAAAGCGATGCTGTGATCTCAATGTCACAACTCAACCTGCTGTGCGGTGCAAGTGTTCTTTCTCTTATTACACCTCACACTGCCACATTCCTCCGAACCACTGGATAAACTGCACTGTGCGCTGTAACGTTTGTACCGAAACAGATGGTAGTAACAATGACGCGTGCCACTCTTTAGTACAAAAGCTATTTTTGTCAAGTTGCTGACGAGTTTAAAATTCATGAGCAGAGAGATGTGATAAACGCAGCTGAAAAAATGCGCCACGCGGGCATGGTGCAGTCTAACTCGTCACCAAGCGCGCACGTTCACGATGTGATAAAAAAGAGAATTGCAGAGAAGGCGTATCACAACATACGGGAGCCGTGGCTGATATCAAACAATCAAGTATAGAACAGCCAATGAGACATATAGTAAACCGAACAAACAAACCTGATTCAATGAGTACCCATGTGTAGAGACTAATTCACTGCTATGTTTGGACCATGCAACGTTACACACCTCAAATACGTGAATTTGAACAGAGTACAAATTAAAAAGATTCATTCTCGTCACCTGACTGCCCGTATCAATCGCTTGCATAGGCTGTCCGGTCAATGTATTCCAGAACCGTAGGTGACGATCAGCAGTTCCACCTCCCGATACTAAGAGACCATGGTGATGAGGTGACCAGGCAAGTGCCTTCACTGCTGCGCTATGTTCAGTGAAAGTCTAAAATATAACGAAACATGAATCGAGGTAAAAAGAATAGGGAGTGAAACTGTCTGACCTGGCTCGGATCAGTACGTCTCATTGACCAGACCAAAAGCTGGTTGTCATTTCCACCTGATGCTAGGTACTGCTTGTCGGGTGACCATTTCAGTCCGCAAACCTATAGACCATATTTTGATAAGAGGGAAATTCTTTCGATGCCAAAAAAAGCAACGAATGCTTTTGACATAAGTAACACTAATTTTGAGCTCTGTCTTATGTTTCTTAGTGCAACAAAATATGAGAGATACTATTGATGACAAAGCATTTCTACGCACAAATGAAAAAACTGCGATGTGATCATATAAGAATACCAATGCTTCACCTCTGCTTCGCAGAGGTTCGCACTGGCATCGTGAACCGTGCTAAACTCACTTTCTGAGAGCTTGTCTCTCAAATCATTGCTCGGTTTATTGCAAAGTGAGCCGTAGTTAAAAATGAACCATACTCGCTATCTTAACTTCATATGATGTTTATTATCGTAAATCATTCCTCACTGTAATTTCGTAACGGACAAACTCCACACAACTTCAGATTAAGCCGCTTATTATGAGTCATGATATTTTTGCCCATGAAGACATGGCGAATTTGTGAGCTAGAAAAATTTTAGGAGTTAAGCCATCACTGAAACGCATCCAAACCCTTGCCCAACATAAGCTCAATTTGTGCAAGAGAAAGATCAGCGAATATGGAAGGCAGATTTATGAGTGCGAAGATCCAGGGGGCCCTGGCGGAGTTCCAAACTCTATCCTCTTTCAAGAAAAGGCATCGCAAGACTTCTAGCTAAAGATGTAACACTTGAACAGCCTTCACGACTTCAATTGACTTCCACGAATAGATGTGAACATCAAAAATCTTTAATGGTTGTAATTGGGTGAACCGAGCTCAGAAAATTTTTTGCAGATTCAGTAGCTCCCATGAGTGGAGACGCTATGTTATAAACAAACGTCAAACATTATCAAGATGCAAAAATTACGATAAAAGCGTTCTTGAAAGAATCTAAGCCTCTTCGACCTTGTTTTTCCGAACTATGTAATCACTAGTTGATGCCCTCAAACATTTCCTAGTTCCGAATCTTCCAAAAATTAGCCATAATTTTGTACCAACGTAGTGGTAATGCTTGCTATGGATGGAAATCACTGCTTCGCATAACAATCAAACATATTCATATCACGTGACAGAGAAAGCAAGCCTGACCACCACTTACCTCTTGACGATGCGCACTCATTTTCTTTTCTGTGAGATGAGGCTGCCTTATATCTCTTTGAATGATATGTCGATCACGACTACCAGAACAAACAAGGTCGCCATTCCACGCAAGACAACCGACCCGTGATGTATGACCGGACAATTCCATTGTCATTTTTTGGGTATGGACATCCCAGATCTGAAAATAGTGCATGCATAAAAAAGATATACAAAGACAAATAAGCTATGATATGAGTCAATGCTGCCAACCTGCGTGATTCCACGGTTTGTACCGACAGCGAGAAGTTCTCCTTTGTCGGCCCATTGTACAGAAGTTACAGTATCTTGGTCGTTCACCAAGTCACAGAGTTTGATGACCTTGAAAATTACAAATCGAGAAGTTATGAGTATTGATTGCAACTCTTTAGATGCGCCCTACCTGACTGTTGCATGCACTCCAAAGATAAACACAAGTATTCAATCCCACAGACAACATATTTTGAGAAGACCAGTCAACTAAATTCAGGTAAAAATCATCTTGGAGTTCAGGTGCATCCAGAACCTGAAAAAATGTATTGAAAGCATGTGAAAATGAACGACAAAAAAAGTACCTTGTATGGATTTTTCGGCACTTTCCTTTGCGGTTTTCGAGGACTTTTCAACAGTCTTTGACTATCCTCACTCAATGGGCCCGAGAATGGTGACAGGGCAAAACTGTAATAATGGCATTAAGAAAAAAACGATTGAAAAAGCTCATAAGAATGGATGGGAAACCCTATAGAAAAAAGAAACAATGTGTGTGAAATTGAACATAAGCAGGAAAAACGGTGAAAACACTATAAATATGTGGTACCTATGAGATGTGCTCGGATCGCCTAGTTTCGTTGGCGTTCTCTTGATATAACTAAATAGTCCTCCAGCTGGGCTACTTGGAGGTTTCTCAGTTTCCACGTCCTTGTAGCATGACTAAAGGATCACCACTAGATTTACACAAAAACAGCTTTATATGTTCCCACTTACGCGTATATCATCTATTCTATCCTGTAAAAGCTCATTGCGAAGTAAAGCACGCACAACCATTTGATCTTGTCTCGACTCGTCGCTAGATGGATTCTGAACAAGATAGGCACTCCAACAAAACTTTTCATTCAATTCTTTCGACATGAGTAGGCAGCTGACTTCGCAAAAAAAGGAACCACAAAAAACAGAAGAAGCTATGGCTATATTTCGTAGCTGTGCCTCCTGCCTTACATTTTTCTTCAAAGGCTCGTAACCCCTCCTCCCCAACCTTTTGTTTCAAAAATTCTAGCTGGATCTACAGGCACAGACAGCATTGATTTAAAAAACTCTAGTATGAACGAGGTAACGCACCTGTGCGGGATTATACTGAGAACCTGGACTTCCATTATTGTTTGATATATTTGTAGAAGCCGCAGGAGGACGATTTGTGTTCGGACGTTTGAATGGTGTCGTTGACTAAGAAAATTTCAATGGAATTATAATTCATAATCAAAGAAAAAGCTTCAGCAGTAATTCAGTTCTTAGCAATCCATCTATAAAACGAATACAACAACAAACCTCTTGATCAGGACAAACTATGGCATTATACCGAGTTGTCCATTCACTATTTGGTTTACGTATGGGTATAAATCGATCACCGTGGCTCTTCGTCGGAGTAACCAGGGGCGAACGCACCTTCAAAAAAAAAACATAAAGTATAAGACATTGCCAAAAGTAACATAACACTAACCGGGGCTGCACAGATCTTCACAGGTGAAGTGCCAGGATTGTGTGGTTTGAGTAATTTTCGCTCTTTGCTAGGGCTCGGAGCTGGTATCATACCTGGAAGATGAACTCATATCAATGATAGCGAAGATGAAGTTTCACGCCGGATGGGTAGAGAATGATATATGATTCCACAATTTAGAAAATTTACATCAGTAAAGCGCTACGAGTTCGTGGCAATCAGTCAAATTAACTGCGACACTAATGACAGGTTGTTTTGAGAATGATCAGAGAGGATGCATGCAGACAGATGTTGAATATATAGAGCGACGAAAACAGATGAAAGGAAAATTCAATGCTTGTGGCAGCGACTCGAAGCCGGACGGCAAAATGGCTACAACATGTGAATTAATGAATTCACATATCTTACCCACAATTCCACAGAATGCTTGGAAGAGACTTAATAAAAACAAAACGCGTCGACCAGACTGCAGCCAACGTGACATCGAGAAGACAAACTTTCGAAATATACTCGCTGCGAATCAAAAGCTGTACTGCACGCACGATCGTATTCCCTTCCCACAAAGAAAGCAACACTTCCATAGGTTAAACACTTCAAAACTAAGCGCAATAGGTTTGATATATAGCGACAGTAAAACTGATGTTTCTGCACAAACTGCTTCCAAAGCTGCATTCGTATGAAACCTTCCTCAGCAAATCAAATATCTTGAAGAGCACTTGGATTTTCCGTTTTTCAAAAAGATGGTGAGTTTTGGTCAATCAACAGCACGGAAAGTGTTCGCGATGGATGAATTTCTATAACATGAACGCTCACTTCGATGTGAAAAAGCTCCGATTATTTCGTAGTTACAAGCGTGTCGAAGCCCAGGTCCACCCGATTTCCTAATCATTCGGCCAGTTCCAGACTTCAATAAACATCTAGCTTAAGATTTTTTTTCCAAGTTTTTTGATCGAACACCACAGGTTGGGGTAATGAAGGTTTCAAATAAATGAACCTTTTTGCTGCTGCTGTCTATTGATTAGCAGCCCACTGTGCTCAAGACATTAATGACTAAGGGGGAGTTGGGAAGAAAGGCCGACTGGAGGAACCCTTTACAATGACTTACAAAAACAATAGCACTTCTCAGTCTCTGTGGTATTGTCCTCAAAAACACGAAATTAAATTATCATGACCATCCTTAAAACAGAGCGATCAAGAACATCAGAAAATTACAAAGTGGATATAGTAATTCATGCCCGAAGACTAAAGAATCAAAGCATGGCTAAAAATGGACAAATAGTCCAAACACTTCACTTACAAGTATTTTTTTTTTGTGATGATCCTCATTTAAAGTATTTTACCACTTCTCCACCCCGATTCTAGGCGTGTGCCGATCGTCTTGATAAGCGCGACGAAAATGCTACACAATGACAGCCGGTTATAACGATACCATAAAATGCGCCGTAAAAGAGATGTTTGATATCGGGAAATGGAAATTAAATTCAAAAAGAAACACTATATTACTGCACAAGGTGCGATTAATAGTTACTTAACACGTAGCAGATTGCAATTTCAACCTAATAAACAAACTATGTAAAGACGTGAAATCTCTCTAAGCTGAATATGTAAATGAGGAAACCACGTTCGCGCAGTAGATGTACACTGTATACGAGTCCATTTACGGCTTTATTGAAAACAAGAGTACAACGCGTGCACAATGCATTACAATCTCAAGCTCGTTCCCTCTTCCATTTTGCGGTGTAAGAACACCAAATAGGAAAACACGAGCTTCAGCTTGATAAATGCACCACATAAGGTACTTTCAAGTAAATAAGACAGTAATGTTATGCACTAACGACAAAGAAAATCAACCTAGAGAGTAGAGATGGTCAAACCCTACAACTCGCAAAGCAGACAGAGAATCCTAGGAATTTCTTTGTTGCATAGCGTATGATTGGTTGTTTCAAAATAATTACTTTTGCTCATTCAGGAAGCCATGAACAATGTGAGATGCATGCTCGCAACGTAGACACAGAGCGATCGATATCAAAATCATCTGCCGCTTTATCGATCGCAAAGGGGTTAGATTCGCAGGCGACCGCAATTTAAGCGTGCGGCTGCATAGCATGCGGCGCCGACTTCAAATTTGGGCAAACTGCAATGGCAGGGTTGCGAAGAACTTCAGCTTCCGGCAAAGGTTCCTTCTCGCGGATCATAAATAGGTTTGGTGGGCTTGTTAGGCATAAGAGTTGAGTGTAGATATGTCAAGAGGCGCTATTTTTATTGCCAGATGGGCACTAATATGCGCATTTTTGGTGTTTAGTAGCGTTCTAAAAGTGAGATTTTTGAGCAGATATGCAAGATCATTGCAAGGGCTGTTTAACTTTATATATATACCAGTGCGTCACCTCTGCTTCGCAGAGGTTCGCACTGGCTCTACTATCCGTGCCTTCTTCGTGATAGCATAATAATGGCTTTGAAACTCACCGCGCGATGCTGAACAACACGAATGAATTGTAAGTAACCATTCATTTTTAGGGCTTTTCCATGTAAGATCGGTAGTTTTGGGAGGAAAAATTTTCCCGCAGAAAAACAAATGCGATTTTGAATGGGTTACTGGATTTATTTTGGCTCTATAGTCGCCATAAGGATAGAGGCCACCTTGAGCTACATATCTACTCAAAAAACCTCTCAATTTCCATAGTAAAAACTTGGCAAATCGACAATTTGCTCAGTTACATCTTTTTGGCGCCAATTTTGAGTAAAAATAGACTTTTTGCTTACTTTTTGAGGTAAAATTAATGTTTTTCGGATTTACTTGCTGAACAAATCCACGGCTTTGCAAAAGGTCCAATTACCGATCCATTTTGGCGCGCCAAAAGTCGCGTGGATCCGTTTGACGCACAGTTTTCGATGGTTCCACTTACTGAATCGGCTTGTGATTTTGCACAGTTTACCTACACTCTGACAGGGTGCTATGACTAAAATTCTAGATCAAGACGCTGGCTGCAACTCACTCTGTGAATTTCGTGACAGACAGATATACATACACAGACAAACAGACAGACGCTTAGCGCTTTATTATAAGTCATGATATATCATTACTTAACAATAAAGCGCTAAGCGCCTGTCTTTTGTCTGTCTGTGTGTATGTATATCTCTCTGTCACGAAATTCATAGAGTGTGTTGTAGTCAACGACTTGAGCTGAAATTCTGGTCATGGCACCCTACCAGCAGTAGGTAAATATTGCAAAAGCACACGCCGATCCGATAATTGGAACCTTCAGAAATTGGGAGTAAAACGGGTCCACGCGACTTTTGACCGACCAATGTGGGTCGATGACTGTACTTCTTGCGAAGCTGTGGATTGCTTATAAGTAAATGTGCAGACCATAGGCTTAAGTCCAGAAAGTGAGCAAAATATCTATTTTTACGCAAAATCAGCGCCAAAAATGAGTGTTTGCCTAGGTCATCAATTTGCCAAGGTTTCATCTAATTTAGCGCAGATTTCTGCTCAGTGTAGGGACAAAAGTAACTATCTTTTGTAAAAACTAATCGGCAATAATAACTTCAGTATTTGGCCGACATTCTCTTTTGATCTTCTACGCAAAAACTTTCTCTTCCCAATTTACCGCTCCTACATGGAAAAGCTCACAAAATGAGTAGTTGATTACAATTCGTTCATGATGGTCAGCATCGCATAGTGAGTTCCAAAGTGACATCATGCGAGCAAGAGAAATGCATATAGATAGAGGAGCCAGCGCGAGCTGCAACTAAGCTATCGGGCTGCAATTTTGCATATTATACCGTGCCAGCGTGTAGGCCCACCATGCGCAAGGACGAGCGGTTCGATAAGCGGGTCCCTCAAAATTTGCGCGTCAAACGGGTCCACGCGCCCTTTGGCACGCAAAACTGGGTCGTTAATTCGACTTTTCGCAAAGTTATGATTTGCCTGACAAGTGACTCTGCGCGCCATGAATTCTAGCCCAAAAAGTGTTCGGAAAGTTTGCTTTTTGCGAAAACAGCGCCAAAAAGTGATGAACGCATAGATAGTCGATTTGGCAAGATTTTATTTGAAAAAACTGAAAAGATTGCACTGAAATATAGCCAAAGGCGACTGTTATCCTTATGACGATTATCAAACTAAAATAAATTCAGTAATCCGTTCCAATTCGCATTTGTTTCCATGCAACAAAGTTTTTTTTTTCTCAAAACTAGATGGCAAACCCGGCTCCGCCCGGGGCCAAACTTTGCACACATACACTTCGGGGCAGGGAGCGTGTCATAGTCCACTTTTCGTTATCGATCGATGTCGATTTTACCGATTTTTTGCAAATTTTGAGCTACGGGGCTGGGATTTTGCACAGGGGGGTAATCGAACATGCTGATCACCCCCACGGGGGTGATCAGCATGTTCGATTACCCCCCTGTGCAAAATCCCAGCCCCCTAGCTCAAATTTTGCAAAAAATCGATAAAATCGATATCGATCGATAACGAAAAGTAGCCTATGACACGCTCCCTGCCCCGAAGTATATGTGTGCCAAGTTTGGTCCCGATCGGTTCAGAAATAAAAATTTCTATTCCGCACATACGTACAGACAGACATACAGACATACATACAGACAGACATTCAGCTTTATATATAAGATTACCGATCTTACATGGAGATGCTTCATGAATGAACAGCTGTTTACGATTCATTTGTGATGCTCAGCATCGCGTGATGAGTTCCAAAGCCATTCTCATGTGAACATGAGAAAGGCATACGGATAGGGAGCCAGTGCGAACCTCCGCGAAGCGGAGGTGACGCACTGGTATATATTAGGTTGTCCCGAAGGGTTTTTTCAACCTATCATAAAAGCGCGTGGAACGAAGACAGGGAAACGCTTTAAGCACTATCCGACGCTCTTTTCCTTCTCTTTCTAACTGTCATGCTTCCATGCCGATTAATCTTTTGCTCACTGAGATGAGGGCTAAAATTTCGAACCCGTGGTTTTTACTATGTCCAAGTTTGCCAATTTTTCACAATCTTTATTTTTGACTTTTGGAAAAGCTTTGGCAACAGTTAGATAGTGCAAACAAAGGGCAATATAATGCAATTTTGCGGTATCTATAGCCAGA